CTGTTTCTTCATGGGATCTGGTCTCTCTCCCCGTGATCGTGTCACTCTACTTCTCTCCCTGGGATCTCAACGATCTCAGCCGGACCTGGCCATGCGACCTGAGATCTCTCTGGCCACAGGTCCTGATCCCTCTCCTTGGGACCTGACATGAGACCTGGTTCCTCTCCTCGCTTGGGACTCGGTCTCCCTGATCTAGATATCCATGAGACCCAGTCCCCACCCACCACAACTACCAACCACCCATCACAACCACCCACCCATGACCACTAATCATCCACCACCCATCATCACCACCCACCAACAACCACCACCACCACCACCCATCTTCACCACCCACCAACATCCACCACCACCACCACCACCCATCTTCACCACCCACCAACATCCACCACCACCACCCATCTTCACCACCCACCAACATCCACCACCACCACCCATCATCACCACCCACCAACAACCACCAATCCACCACACCACCCATCATCACCACCCACCAACATCCACCACCACCACCCATCAACATCCACCACCACCACCCATCATCACCACCCACCAACATCCACCACCACCCATCTTCACCACCCACCAACATCCACCACCACCACCACCCATCTTCACCACCCACCAACATCCACCACCCATCTTCACCACCCACCAACAACCACCAACCCACCACCACCCATCATCACCACCCACCAACATCCACCACCACCACCCATCATCACCACCCACCAACAACCACCAACCCACCACCACCCATCATCACCACCCACCAACATCCACCACCACCACCCATCATCACCACCCACCAACAACCACCAACCCACCACCACCCATCATCACCACCCATCATCACCACCCACCACCACCACCCATCATCACCACCCACCAACAACCACCAACCCACCACCACCCACCACCACCACCCACCATCACCCACCACCACCACCACACCGACTACAAGGCAACCCACCCTTGAGCAGCAGCTTGTCCCGCACCGACACCCGCCTGCCGCCGCCGCCGCCCTCCCCCACCGAGGCCGGGTTCCCCACGCCGCCGCCACTGCTGCTGCGGGTCCCGGCGCCGCCGCTGTCTCGCTTCTTCTTCTGCGCCAGGGTCAGCATCGTCGCCTCCTCCTCCTCCTGCTGCTCCTCCTGCTGCTGCTGCTCCTGCTCCTCCTGCTGCTCGCCTCCAGCGGGCGATTTCTGCCTCCCGGGTCAAGGGGCACGGGGCGGGGGCTCGCGGCGAGGGGAGGAGCATGGCCCTCGAGAGGGGAGGTGGCTTCCTGCTAAGGGAGGCGGGGCTTCTCACCCATGGGCGGGGCTTCACGGTTGCGGGTGGAGATTAACGATTGTAGGCGGGGTTTCATATTACGGGGCGGGGTTTCACGCTTAGGGGCGGAGATTTACTGCTGAGAGGCGCGGCTTTCTGCTGAGGGGGCGAGGCTTTATACAGTGGAGGGGCCTCGTGTGGAGGGGGTGGGGGGGGCCCTAAGGGGCGGGGGGATAGGGTGGGTGGAACAGGAGCAAGGGACAGCGGCGAATTGCGGCAGGTGGCACAAGCAAAGCCGGAATATTTATTAATACTGCAGCAGAAATCCGATGAGCTGCGAAGCTCTTTATCACAGACGTCTTGGTAGAGGCGGGTCAGAACGTGACAACAACACGCGATACAAAAACACGATCGGAGTGCAAAGTGTAGGAAAAGGTAAGGGGCCGTCCATAAATGACGTCACGCGATTTTGGAGAATTTTTGACCGCCCCCCCTTCGTCACACGACGTCACAAAAAGTCAGACCGCCCCCTCGAATATGACGTCACAAAGCTTTGCACCACCCCCCCAAAATAAAACGTGCTTCAAATCGCTTTAAACTATTGTCATTGTAGTGCGTATTTAATGTGCCTCTGCACTCTGATGTTGTAGGAGAAAACATTTATTTAAAAGTCTATTTAATTAAGTAGAACGTGTTGTCTATATTTATTTAAAGTTGCGCATTTTGATGTGACGTCACATTTCTCAAACCCCCCCCCCCCCCTCGTCACACATCGTCACAATTGTCTGACCCCCCCCCCCCCAGGTGCGTGACGTCATTTATGGATGGCCCCGAAACGAATCACCTAAAACTATACACATACAACTCAACAATGTTTTCATCTAATAATGCGTAAGTATTTTATGTGGGTTCATTAACCCTCCACCACCCGACAATATTGTCACTGCAGTGTGGTCCTTGTAAAACAAATGTTGGCATACAACTATGACTCAATTCTTGCCCCTTCCCCGTGCCTCCGATTGGCCACGGTTGGCGACGTACGGTGCGAAAGAAGTTCAACACATTCGTGAGTGGCAGGGGGTCGGCAGCACGAGTGGCAGGGGGTGGCTCCAGATCGTGGGAGCAGCAGAAGTGAATGAGCGACCTCGCTCCCACTGGGGGGGGGGAGGGGGCACAACAACAGCCACAGGAACAACAACAGCCACAATAACAACAGCCACAGGAACAACAACAGCCAAAATAACAACAGCCACAGCAACAGCCACAGGAACAACAACAGCCACAACAGCAACTACAGCCACAGCAACAACAGCAACAACAACAGCCACAGCAACAACAGCAATAACAACAACAGCCATAGCAACAATAGCCGCAGCAACAACAACAGCCACAGGAACAACAACAACAGCCACAACAGCAACAACAGCAACAACAACAGCCACAGCAACAACAGCCACAGCAACAACAGCAACAACAACAGCCACAGTAACAACAACAGCCACAACAGCCACAACAACAGCCACAACAACAGCCACAACAACAGCAACAACAGCCACAGCAACAGCCATAGCAACAACAGCAACAACAACAGCCACAACAACAACAGTCACAACAACAACAGCCACAGCAACAACAACAGCAACAGCAACAACAGCAGCAACAACAGCAATAACAACAACAGCCATAGCAACAATAGCCACAGCAACAACAACAGCCACAGCAACAACAGCAACAACAGCCACAGGAACAACAACAGCCACAACAGCAACAACAGCCACAGCCACAACAGCCACAGCAACAACAGCCACAACAACAGCAACAACAGCCACAACAACAGCAACAACAGCAACAACAACAGCCACAGTAACAACAACAGCCACAGCAACAACAGCCACAACAACAATAGCCACAGCAACAACAGCAACAACAGCCACAGCAACAACAGCCACAGGAACAACAACAGCCACAGCAACAACAGCAACAACAGCCACAGGAACAACAACAGCCACAGCAACAACAGCAACAACAACAGCCATGGGAACAATAACAGCCATAGCAACAACAGCCACAGCAACAACAACAACAGCCACAGGAACAACAGCCACAGCAACAACAGCCACAGCAACAACAACAGCCACAGGAACAACAACAGCAACAACAACAGCCAGGGGAACTACAACAGCCATAGCAACAACAGCCACAGCAACAACAACAGCCACAACAACAACAGCAACAACAGCCACAGCAACAACAGCCACAGCAACAGCCACAGCAACAGCCACAGCAACAACAGCCACAACAACAGCCACAGCAACAGCCACAGGAACAACAACAGCCACAGGAACAACAGCCATAGAAACAACAGCCACAGCAACAACAGCCACAACAACAACAGCCACAGGAACAACAACAGCCACAGCAACAGCCACAACAACAACAACAAAGAGCTGAGTGGACTTGCCGTGGTTACCAGCAGTGTCAAGATCGGCCTCTAAACTCTTTAGTTTAATGTTTATTATTATGTATTTGTTATAATTCTACATTGTTACCCCCCCCCCCCCCCCCCCTTTAAGTAAAATTGTGATTGTATGCTTGGATTTGTGTACATGGCTTTATGTAATTTTTTATTACATAACGTTATGTAAGTTTTTTTTAAAGATTACCGTAATCAAATTCTCAGTTTTTAATCGTTTTTGTATTTTATTTTCAGCTTTTAACGGTTGTATACAGTATTTTTTTTAATTCTCAAGCTTTAACGGGGAATTTTCATTAGTTTTTTGTTAATTAACGTACGTGTTTTGTGTATTCGTATGTGTCGAAATCTTTTTCGTACGTGTGTACGTGTGCACGTTCACATTTCATTAAGTGTATTGTACGATGTTGTATAGTATAGTGGGATGTTCATGGGTAAAGCATAACGCGTTTGATAAATATTGCAGTCTGTCATACATTTGGTGTGTGTGTGTGTTGTACTGAACTGTTATGGGGAGCGGTGGTGCAGTGGTTAGCGCGCTCCGCTTCGAACCTGGAGACCCGAGTTCCATTCTCGCTAACGGCCATCACCACGTTGTCGATTATCTGAACTGGTCCTAGGATTCCCCTAGGTAGACTCAGCCTCAAATGAGTACCTGGTTTGTAAACAACGCCACTAGGGAGACACAGGCGGCCGGGCGTGGTGCTGGCCACCCACCCACCCACTCGTGTGCCGTTCCAAACTTCATAGGCGCTCGCTTTCAGCACTTTCCCCAACAGTCTGTTCAATTTCAATGGTAGTGGCATTGGTGGTGAAAGTAGTGGCAGTGGTGGTGCAGTGACCGTGTTGATGACCACTGTGGTAGAGGCGAAAGTAGTGACAATTGGCAGTGGTGGTGAAGGTGATGGCAGTTAAAAGGTGAAAGCAGTGGCGTTGTTGGTGGCGGTAATAGTTGCTGTAGTAATTGGGATGGTGGTGGAGTTGGCTTTGTTAGATGACAATCGACAAACGGGTAACCATTTTTCTAATTGATCTTACCTCAACCTGATTTGCATAGGCGAGCAATCCGTATCAGGCTGGAACACGGACGGGGGTGGCTGCCTCGTGGTCTTGGACGCCTTGGTCGTGCAAGTTGGTGAGAGAATGGTGTTCAAGGCTGCGAGGAACACGATGGCAGCTGCCGTAGGAAAACAGGCAGTCCGTAATGTGGAGGAACCGACGTTAACAACATAAGCAAACGCAGAGCTTTTAAAACTTCACTTTAAAACATTTTCCTTTTAATAACGCAAATACTTTTTGATGGTACAATCAAGGAACGAGGCTTCTCGGGCAATATATAAAACGATTGTACATATCAGACGAAACACATATAAAACGTCAAGGAGTTTACTATTAAACTAATCTACTTCAGAGCTGGGAGATCGTCACAGCGAATGCTGTTACTGCCACACCTTTTGATCGCTCCCATCCTGCCAGATTCCTACAACTGTTGCACACTTTACACCTGATTTCTTCTAACTTCTACTTTTAGTATACAATGTCTGCTTCTTAAATAATGATTGGTATTTAATCAGTGATTTTAATGTTATTTTACAAAACTTGATATCCTGGAACTTAAACCAACATTGTGAGAAAATGCTCAGCAACAATTCTTTATCCAGTCCTTCATGGTCCTGTCAGTTACAACCGATGCTTTATTTTAGTCGGGAAGTTGACAGAAGTTCCATTTGCAAGAGAGTTGTGATTTTACTCAGTAAAAAAAGATATACATCTCACACATTCACACACACACCGAACTAGAAAATGTTATTTAAAAAAAGGTGTAATATCTGTGTCACATCAATCATTTATACTTCTTACGAGTCTATAACACTAAAATCGCTGCCACCACAGGTAAAATTTGCATGACATTTGCATACATTGTAAATCATCTATTCCAACAATCAACGATTCTTTTCACACGGATTACTCGTCAGTACGAGTTTTTGCCGCATCGACTTCCAGCGTGGGCGGCTGCTGCCGTCTCCGCGACAGCTTTGTGCGGCCCCTGGAAGTCCCCGGTGGAGGAGCAACAGCGGCAGCGGCGACCGAGGCCGGTGCCTCCGCGTGGCGAGCGGAGGCCTCGCGGCCACGGAGAGTGACCTCCGTGGCTCTCTCCTCCACCTTGATTGCGCGTGGCGCGTCACCGCCTCCGTCCACGCGTGCCTCTGTCCTCACGCTCCCCTCCCACTGCCGGCCCGACCTCTCGTTGTTTTCCTTCATCTCCTCGTGCCTCCGTGCCCTCTGGAGGGATATCCGAGGGCTATCCGAGGAGGTGTACTGCGCCGGTTCTGCTCCCATGGCGGTCCCGGTGCGATGAGATGGTGGTTTTCGATCTTTTCCCTTTCTGTGCCCGATCTTCTTGACTCTACGCGAATGAATGCGCAAAATAGTTTAAAAAAATGTCTGAACTTCATAATTAAGTAACATATGCATGTATCCATTAGATCATCCAGCCGAGTGACTGAGGTTAGAGCGCTAGATTTTCCATCAAAAAAACTTAAATTCCTGGTCTTTGGCCGACTCACATTACTGTCCCCCGAGAAATGATAAAATACGTAGAAATGTGGGGTACATCAGAATTATAAAATAAAGTATATAAGCCCAAATTGGATAAGTACACCAATTTCCAAGCTTCGTCAAGGCAGCAAAAAACAGCAAAAACAGTCCCAGACCAAACACCAAGACAACACACAGCACCCTGTGTGTGTGTGTATGCAGAACCCAAGCTCACATGTGCTTGAGCTTGGCCTGCCGGCGCTGAGCAGAGGCGGTGAGCAGCGCCTTGGCGTCAGCTTGACACACTGCTGGACAGTTAAAGTACTCGGAGAGGGCACGGTCCCCACACCTCGCACCCACACCCTGATTGGGACAGGAAAGCGCGGATTATAGCAAGGATACATCTGTGCACAATAAGTCGTTGATAAGAGGAGCTTACTGTTAATAATTAGCATTGTGTTAGTAAGCAAAGGAATCATATAAATTGAAGAACTAAACAATGTTTTATTGCATCAGGTAAAGCCCACGATGTAGCTCTTTTTCAGAAGCGATGTGGCCACAAATGATAGATCAACGAAGTGGGTTCTCATGTGGAAATTTAAAAGAGCCAAATACTCTAAACGCACGTGTCTAATTGTGGAGGGAAAAACCGGAGAACCTGGAGAAAAAATCCATGCGACCATGGGCAGAACATGCAAACTCCAAATATACAGCAGGCATCAGGGTCGGGATCGAACCTACGACCTCCTGCATATCAGGTGAGGTAGTTAACATTTCGCCACCCCCGATATGACTTGGGCTACACTTCATTGAACGCTCCACTTTAGTTCAAACCATCTACCTGGTCCAGACGGGATGCAGATGAACCATACGTATACTGGTCGTTGGTCATTTTGTGGCTGCTCAATGGAGTCCTAAAATTCATCCAATGCAAACACTAGAGTTGGGGGCTCTTCTGTGACATATTAATCATTTGGCGGGACCCCGGGGTCCCGCAAAAATCAGGTCAATAATTATTATTTTTCAGTCCGCCCACTCGTGATCCCGACAGCAACGCGCCGCCCGCCCAGACTCGCACCAACAAGCGCCAGCAGCAGGCGGCGATCGACACGATGGGCGCCACCCCACCGGCCAAACGCAAGCCCGGGGAGTTTCCGCCGCAATCGCGCGCGGCGACAACGCCCTCCGGTCAGCCGTCGATCCTCGGCTTCTTTGCCAAGGCGAGCCCGCCCCCCAGGCAATGAATTTAACGTGTTCATGTAATTTAAAAACTTTTTACGAAACTTAGTGCCCCGAGTAGCTCTCGACGAGGCCAATTGATTGCCACTAGTTTTGTTGTCGGTAAGGCAAGACTCGTGTCGCTACGCGGTTTTTCCCACCCCGGGGCGGTGATGGAACCCCGGGGTCCCGCCAATTGCTTCATATGTGTGGAGGCAACTCACTTCCGGACGGAGCAGTGGGGCCACTGGAGTTAGAACAGCTGGAGGATGTGGGGGTGGCGGTGGTGGGGGTGGGGGAGGTGCTTCGCAAACAGCATTCACGCACACAATAAGCTGTTCTGGGAATATGGGCATCTTCACATACGAGCGCTCTATGAGACACACAGGAAACACAGAGACACACAGGAGACACTCAGGAGACACAATGACACACAGGAGAAACACTGACACTAATCTGGAATGCTTAACAGTTGATAGCATGAAACTTGTTTCACGTGAATTAAAAACCACCAAGTGAGAGCCACACTAAAAAGACACTTTTTAGAATAAAGGCTGAATAGTGTCTCAAGATATGGTTGATACTTTGATTCAAATTGTAACTTGCTTACTTTACAATGTAGATGGGAAATATAAATATTCACATTTTATGGAATTGCTGAGTTTTTTAGCGCTCCATTCAGGGATCATGTTTTCTTATTTACATCCGAACGAGTCAAAGTTTTCTTGTTTCCATCCGAACGAGTCAAAGTTACCCACCAGAGAACCGCCCGCTCAGACAGCGCAGCCCAACGTGCCTCTTTCTGAAGTACGTCTCCACCTCCACGTACTTCCCTGGAGGAAAATCAAGTGTCAAAACACTGGTGTGTATGAACTAAGACAAACTTTTTATTTTATTAGGCAAGGCCCACTAAGCCATACAGCTGTTTTCAGAAGCGACCTGGCCACAAATGACAGCTCAATGAAGCGGCTTATGTGTACATTTATAGCAGCCAAATACTCTTAAACGCATGTTTCTCAATGCGGAGGGAAAAACCGGAGGACCCGGAGAAACATCGACGTGACCGTGGGGAGAACATGCAAACTCCCAATGTAACAGGCATCAGGGTGGTTTTAGGACACGATCCAGCCCTGTCTGCCTCTTGTGCCCCTCTGTCTCATCATTGCGCTTTTGCCTTCCCGTGTCCTTTTGATGTTTCTCTGATTATTCCATCTGTCTCGTCTTACTATATATATTGCTCGTCTTTCTTTATCGCATTGTGCGCATTGTCGTTCCTTGACGACCATTCTATACAAAATGCAAGCCTGTAAACCGGTACTTTCGTGACAATTGTTGATGGCCCACGTATAATTGTGAAACTCCTAAACACCCACTGGACCACGACAGGACAGGGGAGCACGACAAATGGGTTCGCCAATAAGATTGTTCTCTTTGACGTGTGGATTTGCTCTTGGAACTTGCAAAGGGCTGTCCGTTTTAAACATATAATCTGTATGTAATGGCTTCTTACATTGAAATCCACCGTGCGGTTTGAACTTTTCTCATGTATTATTATGTAGAACTTATTTTGCGCCTTATGTAGCCAAACGTGCTAACCAGAGGTGATCGTTACTAAAATGCAACTGGATTAAAATGATAAATTCCAGAACTTGTTGTTTAAATCGTGTGCTCACGTCCACCGTGTACAGCCCATGGTGAGCAGTGTGCAGGGCACCTGCATTGGTCACCGGCTTGCTGTGCGCCCGCTCTTTCATCTGCTTGGACTGCATGGGCTTGCGCTGTCTCCTCAGTTGCAAGTAGGAGTTCACGCGTTGCTCCACCACGTCGCTCAGCAGCGATAGCACCTCCTGCGCAATGCAGCAATGGAGCGAGGGACGTTACGGACACGCGAGGCTCACAACTGACATGCTGCAGCCACTAAGCTGACACCGCTTAGATCCTGAGTTTGCATCTGGGTTACAGCCACCCCACGGGTTAAACCAAGCATGGATTTTTTTGTTGTTGTCTTAGCCCGGTCACAAATCAGTGTGTAAAGCAAAAATAAAATGTCAAATTTGATTGTAAGATTCAGCTGAGAGCAGCACTGAGGAATATAATGTATAAATACGTGTCAAACTACAAAAAAAACATCAACCCTCACTCCTGGGTGAAGGCCTCTCCATGCCACGTTTTATGGGGGTTGTTTAACCATACTTCACTAGGCTGGTTAGGGCAGATTGGTGCAGCAGGGGCACAGAACCGGCATATTGTCGACACTGCTTAAAGCTGGAGTTCCGAATCGACGTTTATTCTTACAATTTCACGGCATGACGCCAACAACATAACCGCAGCACAATTAGGAACTGTCCAAAACACCGGTGCGCTGAAGTGGTAACTAATTGGCATGTTTTATTTACGTGACAAACCTTACTAATTGGCTGTGTCGGGTGGTGCGCGGGTTTAACGGCACATTTATATTAACGCGATCTAACCCCAAAAAAACCTCTTATGTATAATATTGGTCGGGAAAGCCTCCTACTGCGTGTTAAACTAACGTTCAGACAATGAAGCCTCACAGACACACAAAAAAGACACGGGCAGTCAGGTTGCTGGAACGCTGGGACAAGCTCCACCGTGGGAGGCACCTGCTTGTATGGACGAGGGAGACCGCTCCACCTCGTCGTCCACCTCGTCACGGGTCGCACCTCGGCCAGCACCACGTACGAGCCGCACTGCAAGAACGAAAGGGAGCAACCGCTCCATGTGACACACACACAGCAGCAGGAGCGACTTCATTGCATGCGGCACGCACATTTCCCTAACTCTGACACACAGTCCAAAGACACCGACTTCAACTGGCTTATCCATCGATTAAAGCATCTTAGCCGCACTCCGTCACTTAAAACTCGATTGAAAACTCATTTATTTAGAACAGTTTTATTGTGTGTGTGTGTGGGTGCATACCTGTGTCAACACCTTATCAGTGCCTACCTTATTACAGGCCAATTCAGAACTCATTGGTCACCCCGTGCCCCTTATAAATCAGAACGTTCATTCTACAAAGTCCCATCACAAGGGAGAAACACAAAATAGACAAAACAAATGTGCCCGTATTGAAACGGCTGTACGCCGTATGGACCTGCAAACTCAATTTCCCTGTACAAGAATACGGGTAAAGCATATGGGTTGACAGGTGTGTGTTTAGTTTGTTGTGCTTCCTCCACACCTCCAATTAGCACGGTTGGCTACGTACGGTGCGAAAGCTTAACATACATACACATACATCAGGTATGGGGTTTCTCCACCCTACATACTTAAATGTAAGGTGTTCCACAAACCCGAAGGGGACATTGTAGAATTCTACTTTTAAGGGTTTCCCCTTCACCTTGTGAAGCACGTTTCCCTTTTACAGCAGTGTTCTTCATTGTAAGGTCCGCGGGGCACTGGCGGGCCCTGGTGGCCTTTAGTGCGGCCCCCGACAATATACAAATGTGAAAATAGCCCCCATCATCATCATCATCGTGCTGCTGTCAATCCCCCAATGGTTTCAAATATGTGGCGGCCCTCACTCTGTAAATGAGTGAAGAACACTGGTTTACAGACTCACCTGGGATCCATAGTTTCACCTGGTCTACAGTGAAGAAAAGTAGAGAACACTGGTCTAAAGACTCACCTGAGGCCCATAGTCTCACCTGGTCTACAGTGAAGATGAGTGGAGAACACTGGTCTACAGACTCACCTGGGGCCCATAGACTCACCTGGTCTACAGTGAAGATGAGTGGAGAACACTGGTCTACAGACTCTCCTGGGGCCCATAGACTCACCTGGTCTACAGTGAAGATGAGTAAAGAACACTGGTCTACAGACCCACCTGGGGCCCATAGACTCACCTGGTCTACAGTGAAGATGAGTGGAGAACACTGGTCTACAGACTCACCTGGGGCCCATAGACTCACCTGGTCTACAGTGAAGATGAGTGGAGAACACTGGTCTACAGACTCACCTGGGGCCCATAGACTCACCTGGTCTACAGTGAAGATGAGTGGAGAACACTGGTCTACAGACTCACCTGGGGCCCAGACTCACCTGGTCTACAGTGAAGATGAGTGGAGATCACTGGTCTACAGACTCACCTGGGGCCCATAGACTCACCTGGTCTACAGTGAAGATGAGTGGAGAACACTGGTCTACAGACTCACCTGGGGCCCATAGACTCACCTGGTCTACAGTGAAGATGAGTGGTGAACACTGGTCTACAGACTCACCTGGGGCCCATAGACTCACCTGGTCTACAGTGAAGATGAGCGAGTGTCTCAAGTCTGCCTCACCTTCAGAGGCAACGTGTCCCGATCTGGCTCCATGAACCCGATGCTCGGGCTGGCTGTTGCTTGTACAGCCGATGTCAGTGCTGCTGTTGTTGTTGATGATGTAACTGCTCTTACTGTTGCTTCTGCTGTTGTTCCGTCCCTTCTGTTTCTCATGCACCTGCTGCCTTAGTCGATGCTTATTGCTGCTGCTGTTGATTCTGCTGCTGCTAACGTCGCTTGCGCTGCTGATTCCGTTGCTGCTGCTGATTCTGCTGCTGTTGCTGCTGCTGATTCTGCTGCTGTTGCTGCTGATTCTGCTGCTGTTGATTCTGCTGCTGCCACAGTTGTTGTTGCTGCTGCCAGTTGTTGTTGCTGCTGGCACAGTTGCTGCTGCTGGCACAGTTGTTGCTGCTGCTACAGTTGTTGTTGTTGCCACAGTTGTTGTTGCTGCTCTCCACACCGCCGCAGGTGACAGTAAGCAGCTGCAGCTGACGCCGCCGCTGCCGTTTGAATGTCAGCGGGGGGCGTGGCCTGGCCGCTAGGACCCCGCTCAGCTGCCCCGGCGGCTGCCCCCCCGGGGACTTTGCCTGCACGCGACGGAGCCGAACACGACACGAGGCCACCTCGCCTGGCGTGACGGGGTAGCTCGTGGGCTCCATCACTACACATTTACAATCAACGTGCTGGGTATTTATTACACGACAAAGCCACTCTTCGTTGCGATATCGTTGTGTGGCCAGGTCGCTCCTGACAAGAAGCTAACGTAGCTCAGTGAGCCTTGCATGAAATTTTTTATTTTATTTTATGTAAAAAAAATAGTTAGAAGCAGCGTGGGCAAAGCGAAGGCCGATCAGAAACCCAACCTCATTAATAAACGAGTTGGTTGGCGAAAACGCACGCACGCGTTTAAGTTTAAATAGTCTTAATAGACTCAGTAAATCTTCCTGGTTCTTTAGGTGAAGTCACGTAGAATGGAAATAAAATAACAAAAATAAAACAAAATAAAATAAGATTCTGACGACGTTTCGGCCACAACAACACAAGTAGCCTTCTTCAGGTGAAGAAACAGGACTGTCCAGAAGACAGCGCTTGAGTGAACACTTGCCAAGCAAGGACCCCGGTGTGTCTTATGAAGCTGTGTGGGCGGAGTTAACATATTAATTAGCATGTGACCCAGCACCACCACCGGAGTGGAGGAGGGTGGTGACCGAGCACACAGAGAAAGAAAGGGAGCAGCTAAGGTGCGCTGCTCTGTCCTGTGTTGCGTTATAACTATGCTATAAACTGGACTATTATACAATATTATACCTTCCAATCTAACCTACATGGTATAATATATCCATAGACAAAATTCCACCTTTGAATTATACAATGCGTTACTATACACTACCCTATACTTTAGACCAGGGGTCACCAAACTACGGCCTGCGACGTCAGTCCATCAGGCCCGCCGACGGTACTTGAATTTTGTTGATAAAATGTATGGAACACGAGACGTGATACAATTTAAATATGTTTAGAATACTAGGAGATCTTCACGCGTGCGGAGACCTCCTGACTGCTATGTTCCTTAAATTTACTATTTTAAATTTTTAGTTATTGTATCTAGATTTTCTTGTTTATTGTAAAGTTTGCTTATTTCGCGCCACCCAAGTACTTCCCCGGCTCGTGGTAGCTCCGCCTACGCTCTGACGTTACCATGGTTTCCATGGCAACGTCATGGAAACACGTTACCATGGTTTCCATGGCAACGTCATGGCAACACGTTATCATGGTTTCCATGGCAACACACACAAACACGCATCTTTCCCGCCCCCAGATTTTCCAGCTGTCAACACAGGTCCGACGCTACGGAAATATTTATTATGCGGCCCGTGCTCGTCATTCTTTCAGTTATCCAGCCCACTGTGAAAAAGTTTGGTGACCCCTGCTTTAGACTATGAAATATTAGACTTGTAACATTACACTATGTCTTATTCTAGGAACCCAACTATATACCACACTGCTGTATATTCACTATGCAATTACGGTACTATATATTGCCTTATGAATTATGTTAAACATTATTATACCATGTAGTTTAGATTGGAAGGTATAATATTGTAATGTATAGTAGTCCAGTTTATAGCATAGTTATAACGCAACACAGGACAGAGCAGCGCACCTTAGCTGCTCCCTTTCTTTCTCTGAGTGCTCGGTCACCACCCTCCTCCACTCCGGTGGTGGTGCTGGGTCACATGCTAATTAATATGTTAACTCCGCCCACACAGCTTAAGACCCGGGGTCCTTGCTTGGCAGTGTTCACTCAAGCGCTGTCTTCTGGACAGTCCTGTTTCTTCACCTGAAGAAGGCTACTTGTGTTGTTGTGGCCGAAACGTCGTCAGAATCTTATTTTATTATGTTTTATTTTTATTTTATTTCCATTCTACGTGACTTTACCGAAAGAACCGAGAAGATGAATCCCTGCAGTCACGAAAGCTTTAAATCGAAAAGAGTTAGTAAATGTTGTGGATTCACTCTTCCAACACACCGGTGGGATAAAGCAGTGAACTATTTTGTCTTTAGTCAACGTGACACTTTTTTTACCGATTGGCCGTGGTCGGGTGGTGGAGGGTTACGACACATTTATAAATAACGCGATCTAACTGAAAAACGTTTATAGTGAATGATATTGGTCGCGAAAGCCTCCTGCTACGTGTTAAACTTAATAGAGTAGGTTTTGGGGAATGGCTCAAGAGAGCCATGTTGTTATTCTCCCAGGGCTGTAGTTTGTCGCGGACCCTGAACCTCCCCCTTGTTCCATGTGGGCCAGGGTGGGGGCGGGCGAGGAGTTCGCCGAGCTGAGCTTTGGGATGGTCGCGGTTTTTTGCAGCGGTCCCTAAACCTTAACCCGGCGCTCCCGTGCTGAGCGACGCCGGCGGAAGCAGAAGCGGAGAGGGAGCGGCAGGAGAAGCAGGAGGAGAAGCAGGAGGAGAAGCAGCAGAGCGGGAGGAGAAGCGGGAGAAGCAGGAGAGAAGCAACAGAGCGGGAGGAGAAGCAGGAGGAGAAGCAGGAGAGGGAGCGACAGGAGAAGCAGGAGAGTGGGAGGAGAAGCAGGAGAGTGGGAGGAGAAGCAGGAGGAGAAGCAGGAGAGAAGCAGGAGAGCGGGAGGAGAAGCAGGAGAGCGGGAGGAGAAGCAGGAGAGAAGCAGGAGAGAAGCAGGAGAGCGGGAGGAGAAGCAGGAGAGAAGCAGGAGAGAAACAGGAAGAGAAACGAGCGAAGCGGCGGCAGCGGGAGAGAGAAGCAGACGGGAAGCGTGGTGGAAGCAGCAGAAGCAGCAACAGCAGAGGAGTTAGAAGCAGGCGCCTGGCAAACAACGAGCAGAGGGACGGGAGAAGCGGCAGGGTTAGGGTTGTTGTTGTTGTTGGTGCGCACTCTGAGGGGCAGTAGCGTGTGGAGAAGCGAGGGGACAAGTGGACAAGTGGGACAAGTGGGATAAGCGGGAGAAGCGAGTGGAGAAGCGTGTGGAGAAGTGGGATAAGGGAGTGGAGAAGCGAGGGGACAAGTGGGATAAGGGAGTGGAGAAGCGAGGGGACAAGTGGGATAAGGGAGTGGACAAGTGGACAAGTGGGATAAGGGAGTGGAGAAGCGAGGGGACAAGTGGGATAAGGGAGTGGAGAAGCGAGGGGACAAGTGGGATAAGGGAGTGGACAAGTGGACAAGTGGGATAAGGGAGTGGAGAAGCGAGTGGAGAAGCGGGCTGAGGAGCAGCGAGTGGAGACGCAGGTGAAAGAGAAGGAGCTTGGGGAGCCGGCGTCGCAAGAGCCATGATCGTGTCCGTGAAGCTGTTGCAGGGAGGGGAGTGCTCCCTTGAGGTAGAGGCGACGAGATGGTGGTGGTGGTGGGTGGTGGTTGGTGGTGGGTGGTGGTGGGTGGTGGTGGATTGGTGGTGGTGGGTGGTGGTGGGTGGTGGTTGTGGGTGGTGGTGGTGGTTGGTGGTGGTGGTTGGTTGGTGGGTGGTGGTGGGTGGGTGGTGGTGGGTGAGTGGTGGTGGGTTGTGGGGGGGAGTGGTGGTGGTGGGTGGTGTTGGTGGTGGGTGGTGGTAGGTGGTGGTGGGTGGTGGTGGTGGTGGTGGTGGGTGGTGGTGGTGGTGGGTGGTGGTGGTGGTGGGTGGTGGTGGTGGTGGGTGGTGGTGGTGGGTGGTGGTGATGGTGGTGGTGGGTGGTGGTGGTGGGTGGTGAGTGGTGGGTGGTGGTGGGTGGTGGTGGGTGGTGGTGGTGGGTGGTGTTGGTGGTGGGTGGTGGTGGGTGGTGGTGGGTGGTGGTGGATTGGTGGTGGTGGGTGGTGGTGGGTGGTGGTGGGTGGTGGTGGTGGGTGGTGGGTGGTGGGGGTGGTGGGTGGTGGTGGGTGGGGGTGGGTGGTGGTGGGGATGGGTGGTGGTGGGTGGTGGTGGGTGGTGGTGGTTGGTGGTGGGTGGTGCTGGGTGGTTCGTGGTGGTAGGTGGTGGTGGGTGGTGGTGGGTAGTGGTGGGTGGTGGTGGTGGTGGGTGGTGGTGGTGGTGGGTGGTGGTGGTGGGTGGTGGTGATGGTGGTGGTGGGTGGTGGTGGTGGGTGGTGAGTGGTGGGTGGTGGTGGGTGGTGGTGGGTGGTGGTGGTGGTGGTGGTTGGTGGGTGGTGGTGGGTGGTGGTTGGTGGTGGTTGGTGGTGGTGGGTGGTGGTGGTGGGTGGTGGTGGTGGGTGGTGGTGGTGGGTGGTGGTGGTGGTGGGAGGAGGAGAGTTGATCGTGATTGCGGGAGATTGATATGGTTGGGAGGTGAGTTGTGACTTTGGGAGGTGATTTGAAGTGAGTGGCGATGGTGAGGGCTGAGTGGTGATGGTGGGAGGTGAGTGGTGGGGGTGAGTGATGATGGTGGGGGGTGAGTGGTGATGGTGGGGGGTGAGTGGTGATGGTTGGGGGTGAGTGATGATGGTGGGAGGTGAGTGGTGATGGTGGGAGGTGAGTGGTGATGGTGGGGGGTGAGTGGTGATGGTGAGTGATGATGGTGAGTGGTGATGGTGGGAGGTGAGTGATGATGGTGGGAGGTGAGTGGTGATGGTGGGAGGTGAGTGATGATGGTGAGGGCTGAGTGGTGATGGTGAGTGATGATGGTGAGTGGTGATGGTGGGAGGTGAGTGATGATGGTGGGAGGTGAGTGGTGATGGTGGGAGGTGAGTGATGATGGTGAGGGCTGAGTGGTGATGGTGAGTGATGATGGTGAGTGGTGATGGTGGGAGGTGAGTGATGATGGTGAGTGGTGATGGTGGGAGGTGAGTGGTGATGGTGGGAGGTGAGTGGCGATGGTGGGAGGTGAGTGATGATGGTGAGTGATGATGGTGAGTGATGATGGTGAGTGGTGATGGTGGGAGGTGAGTGGTGATGGTGGGAGGTGAGTGATGATGGTGAGGGCTGAGTGGTGATGGTGGGAGGCGAGTGGTGATGGTGGGAGGTGAGTGGTGGGAGGTGAGTGATGATGGTGGGAGCTGGGTGATGATGGTGGGAGGCGAGTGATGATGGTGGGAGGCGAGTGATGATGGTGGGAGGTGAGTGATGATGGTTGTAGGTGGGTGATGATGGTGGAGGTGAGTGATGATGGTGAGAGCTGAGTGGTGATTGTAGGAAGTGTGAGCGGTGATGGTGGGAAGTCAGTGGAGGCGAGTGATGATCGTGTGACGTGAGTGGTGATTGTGGGAGGCGAGTGGTGATTGTGGGAGTTGATTTGAGGTGAGCGGTGATGGTGAGCGGTGATGGTGGGAGGTCAGTGGAGGCGAGTGATGATAGTGGGAGGTGAGTGCTGTGAGTTGGCCACTAATGGATCTTGTCTGTGTGAGCGGAGGTCTCGGAGTCGGACCTGGTGTCACGGCTGAAGGAGCTGGTGGAGCGTGAGCTCAAGGTCCCCTCTGAGCAGCAAAGGCTGCTCTTCAAGGGAAAGCCGCTGATGGGTGAGCATCTGAATGAAGCCACGACCCTGGAATGGGGATCCAATCCAGGTCCTGCTCCTGGAGGAGTGGGTATGGATAGAGGAGTTCGCGGGTTCCACGACAGAGGAGGCACCACATTGTTTTGGCTTTGACTCTTGCACCCGCGCGGCCGATGTGCTGGAGCTGTCAGAGCTAAGGGGGTAACAACATCTGGGAAGGAAGACGCAAACATAAAACACAATTCGCTTTAGTCTTGAAGACACCGAACCCTAGTCTGTGTGTCCTGGGCTGGCCGAAATGAGTAAAAAATTTCGGGAACTTGCTCAAACAATACTTTTAAGTCACGGTATATACTACGTTCCCATGGTACAACAATGATATGACGATATTACTTTATTAAATATTTGGTAGTGATATCAAATGAGTGCAACAATAGCACGGCGGAAATTTATTTTAAGGTCTCGTTGATTCCGAATCAAACTCGTGTTGGACGACCGGGGATACACAGCCTCGGTGTGCATCTAAACAGCAAAGTGCTGTTTAGGTTGCGTGTCTACCTGTAAAGTGTCTTTAGCGTCTGGGGTTTTTAGCGCACGGCTGTGTTGTTTGGCACTGTTATCGACGGGAGTTTTAGGCGTCTGTATTTGGGGCGGCGGGGGAGAGCGCAAAAACATCTTTAAAATTTACTTTGGATAATGTGCCATTTTTGCTCTAGTGATCTCACTGCATATGTAGTGGGTTCTAGTGACACGGAGACGGTAGAGTAGAGGCAGCACTTATTTATTTATAACGAGGGGTCACACTGAAGGGGTAGCGGCCCCTTCACCCGAATACACTTAGGAATATCCCCCTAGGCTATCTAGCCTAAGCCTATGTTCCCCGGTTCCTCCAGCTAAGGGCTCTAGGGGAGGCTGTCTGATCTGGCCCTGGTTAAGCGCAGATCACGGCACCCCACCAACCAGACCGGCCCTTAGAAGGACGTCGGCTCTGTGGCTCCTGGGGCCGTACCACTGGCTTGCCCTGCCGATCCTGAGAAGGACAGCGGTCAGGGGAGTCCCAGGGTTCTACTTAGCTAGTCTTCCTTCTTCCCTGGTACTTCATTCTTGGCCCCAACACTCTGCCCCGAGCTCTCTCACTCCCCGCCCTTTATACCCACAAACCACTGGGCGGGGCTGTAGCAGCGGACGTGGTTGTAGCCACCTAGGATCACACCAAGGATGGGCTGTACCTCTGCATCTCACAACACCCCTACACACATTTTCCAAATATACCGAGTGTTGAATCATTTTGCTGCACAGAATTTCCAGGCTAATCCTACCACTTCATGAACATTTTGTCGATTCTTTTAATGCAATTTATTCTTCCATAAATCCCTGCCTTAAAAGGGTTTTTTTTGAAAATCCGTAGGCTCAACCATAAATGGGTGAGCTTTGCAAAAGTTGTCACCGTGGTGTCGGATAAAACACAGTGTGGGTCACACCAACTACATCGCTCTAGCACATCGAAACTCCTGTAATTCACGTAGAGTAAAATTTCGCTTTGAAGCTTTCGTGACTGCAAGGATTCATCTTCTTTGGTTCTTTCGGTAAAGTCACTACGTAGAATGAGAATAAAATAATAAATTGATAAAATAAAATAACACAATAAAATTCTCACGACGTTTCGGCCACAACACAAGTGGCCTTCTGTTCTTTCACCTGAAGAAGGCTGCTTGTGTTGTGGCTGAAACGTCGTGAGAATTTTATTGTGTTATTTTAGCAATTATTTTATTCTCATTCTACGTGACTTTACCGAAAGAACCAAAGAAGATCACGTAGAGTATTTTATTCTCAACCAAAGCTTCAGACTTGTCTTAGACATCCGCAAGGTGTTGTATCTTAAACGACGAGAGATCTTTGTCTTTTGTGTTTCTTTATTTAAGCGTCCTGCCGTCGTATTTCCTGCTGTGATGTGCAAATGAGATGAAAGATAATTGATGATTCGATCAAATTGTTACCTCGAATCATTACAGCTTGTTCAACTGCACTTAGGGTTATTAGAACGACGCGTGGGTGGTGCAGCCACCACGTATATAAATAGATAATTAAAAAGTTGCCTAATTGAGATTGTGGTATAGTGAAGTCCCGTTTCTCACATCACAGTTTAATTGCCCAATACGCACTCTTGCAGGAGGTTCACATATAATCCATCTGCTTCAGATGCAATATTTTAGAAAAGTTTGCTCTGTGGGGGGGTTTTGAATTATTGCAGGCCTAGCAAGGAGCTGCTTTGCAATCATTCTCATCACCACTGTCCGCATCATCATTTTGCTTCGGTCTCCGTGCGAGGCTGTCCTGCGCCGCCTCTCCGTGTGCCACAGACGAGCTGCAGCTGAGCGACTACAGCATTCCCCACAACGCGCGCCTCAACCTGGTGCTCAAGGCAACCGAGCGGGGGGCCGTCGCCCCCACCCTGGCCCCCGAGTCGCCCACGGCCGCGGCGCCGGCGGAGGGCGACTCCGCTTTCTGGGAGCTGCTGCCGCTCATCCTCGCCAAGCATTTCTCCCCGTCCGATGTGCACAAGGTCCTGCAGCAGTTCAAGAAGGTGCGTGACGCCCGGGCATAGGGATTACATCTAATCCACCAAGGCCCTGAGCATCCATGGAGCAGTGTCTCTACGGGTGGGGGGGGGGGGGGGTATCCCTGCTCGATCTGTGTGGGCTCCCTTTGGGATCTATATGGGATGTCTGTGGGATATGCATGGGATCACTCTAGGTCAGTGGTTCTTAACTTGGGAGCACGCACCCTCTGGGGGTGCGAGATGCCCTTTCTGGGGGTGTGAGGCATGCCGCATTTTTTTTAGAAGGTAAATCGTCGAAACATTAAATGAAGCACTGGCACGTAAATACAACTACTTTGCTTCATCAAACCCTCTATGTATTCATTAACATGTTTTTAAGGATTGAGAATCAAAGGGTTGCCAGGCTGCAGTAAAGGTTAAGAACCACTGCTCTCGGTTGAATCAGCTGAGTCTCTGCGTGCCCGGGCAGTGTCCATGATGGCAGAGGCTTTTGCATCACAGTGATGTAGATTAACATTGCACCCCACAATCTGTACAACTACAAGATCGTGTCTGTGTGATCACATGTGCACTATGTGGAGTAGTAGCGTACCGTTAAGCACACGGTACTGAATATGGTTATGGGTTTGATTTTCGGCCACAGCTAATGTGATTATTTGAATCGGTACTGGGTTTCCCTTATGTCCACTCGGTTTCAAATAAGTACCTTGCTCGGCTGGTCATGGAGTCTGGCCATGTCACCTGCTCGAGCACTGCAGTCCTTCACCTATGCTCACTAAAAAAAAATCTCTTGCCGGAACAGTCCATGAGTTAGCGACACGGAGGATCTGTAAATTCACGATTGTTATAGGCCATGTGTGTTCGAATTCCCATGCCTGGTGCAGGACTACGACTGGACCCTCAAGAGCCTGAGCTTGGACGACGTGGAGAGGATAGCGACGCATCTCCTGCACGCAGACACGCCCGCCACTGCACGCGCAGGGTCGGCTGAGTGAGGCCCGCGCCGTGGCAGCCATCGGAGCGCGCGGCCTCGTGCCATGCGAGTGATTGAGCGTGCGGCGTCGAAGGAGGAGCGAGACGTCAGGGCACTCGTCTGCTCTTCCACTCGCTTGCCCCCCCCCCCCCCCCTTGCTCATCAAGAAGAGAGTCTCCAGCCACACAGAATCACGGCTGTTCGGGCTGGGACTCAAGATGTAGAGTTTATTCAAATGTGTTATAACATACCCGTACTCTTTGGTCACCCGGGAAAGCCTTGTTGAGCTAGCATGGCTCTTGCAGGAGGGTTCTGCTTGGGAATTTCAGCCAGTATCTGATTTGATTTGAGTGTTTATGCTTTGCGGGAGGAAAACCCACAGCTAGGAGAAAATGAGCAAACCCTGCATAAATAAGGTCGCACCGTACTTACTGTACCGCTTAGAATAATATGATTGTAACAGCCACGACATGGGGCTGTTTATAACCACCCCTGTACTGTTACAAGACTGAGAAAAGTTGGGTTCCTTTAGCCCCTTTTGAAATGGTTGGGTTTAGAGAAAATGGCGAGCACACACAGGAGGAATGTTGAATCATTTGCACATCACATGGGGCTAGTGACACATTGAACATGGTGAAGTGTAATTGTCTAAAAGCCACGATGCACTCGTCTGAACAGGCAGTAGTTCGACCAACAGATGACTTTTACCCCTGATTAAGGTTGCATCTTTTTTCCAAAACACGGGTTCATAGCCCTTGGATTGAAACACGGACCACTTGCATTCATTGCATTTCACAAGCGTCTCCAATGCTGCAAACTGCAATGTATAAATGCACACACTCAGATGCTGCTGGTTTTTTGTAGGTCTCTAGCAATGGGATGTTTTACAGGTCTGTGGATAACACGCACGCTCCATGTGAACATATCTGCATTACAAAATGTACTGTCTAATGTTTTTATTTTAAAACTGTTCATTGAAATAAATTTGAAGGATTACAAATTCTGTTTTATCTCCTGCCATGGTGATTGCCTTGCATGTTGATTGAAGGCATGGACATGACCAGAATTCTAATAACCCCGGCACCAGCATAATAAAGTTGAAAGTTTGTAATTGAATTTACCAGCAGTAGAATGATTATTGTATTTTTTTTATTGTTTCTCCATGGCCTTTCTGGTGGCATCACTGTGTTTCGACAATAGATTAATGTAGAAAAATATATTTGATATTTAATAGAAGTCGGTTGACCATTGCCACATTGACAGAACCATGATTGCGGTGAAGGCTGTTGTATCGAAAATCCCTCCATAGTGGCATATCCATTAACGAATTGGTTCAGCGTATAGGTTTGTTAAGTTATCTAATATCAGGGAAAGGTCGCCGAGTCTTGTGACTTTCAGAGGTATTGGATGGTTGCTTGGCTTATTCGAGTTTCACATTGTGGGATTTTAAGTCTTAAATCCAAATGTGTATTCTTAAACCGAAGCTGACTTGAGAAATCCCACACAGACAAGGATCATGCTCAAACCTAGCAAAGAAAATCATCTCATGGGTATCCCTTGTAGAAATGGATTCGACACCTTAATATCATTTTAATGGTATCCCCCTCATTCAAAAAGTTAAACAACATTTTAATTACAGTGAGGGAAAAAAGTACTTGATCCCCTGCTGATTTTGTACGTTTGCCCACTGACATAGAAATGATCAGTCTATAATTTTAATGGTAGGTTTATTTGAACAGTGAGAGACAGAATAACAACAACAAAATCCAGAAAAACGCATGTCAAAAATGTTATAAATTGATTTGCATTTTAATGAGGGAAATAAGTATTTGACCCCTCTGAAAAACATGACTTAGTACTTGGTGGCAAAACCCTTGTTGGCAATCACAGAGGTCAGACGTTTCTTGTAGTTGGCCACCAGGTTTGCACACATCTCAGGAGGGATTTTGTCCCACTCCTCTTTGCAGATCTTCTCCAAGTCATTAAGGTTTCGAGGCTGACGTTTGGCAACTCGAACCTTCAGCTCCCTCCACAGATTTTCTATGGGATTAAGGTCTGGAGACTGGCTAGGCCACTCCAGGACCTTAATGTGCTTCTTCTTGAGCCACTCCTTTGTTGCCTTGGCCGTGTGTTTTGGGTCATTGTCATGCTGTAATACCCATCCACGACCCATTTTCAATGCCCTGGCTGAGGGAAGGAGGTTCTCACCCAAGATTTGACGGTACATGGCCCCGTCCATCGTCCCTTTGATGCGGTGAAGTTGTCCTGTCCCCTTAGCATAAAAACACCCCCAAAGCATACTGTTTCCACCTCCATGTTTGACGATGGGGATGGTGTTCTTGCTGTCATAGGCAGCATTCCTCCTCCAAACACGGCGAGTTGAGTTGCCAAAGAGCTCCATTTTGGTCTCATCTGACCACAACACTTTCACCCAATTGTCCTCTGATTCATTCAGATGTTCATTGGCAAACTTCAGACGGGCATTATATGTGCTTTCTTGAGCAGGGGGACCTTGCGGGCGCTGCTGGATTTCAGTCCTTCACGGCGTCGTGTGTTACCAATTGTTTTCTTGGTGACTATGGTCAAAGCTGCCATGAGATCATTGACAAGATCCTCCCGTGTAGTTCTGGGCTGATTCCTCACCGTTCTCATGATCATTGCAACTCCACGAGGTGAGATCTTGCATGGAGCCCCAGGCCGAGGGAGATTGACAGATCTTTTGTGTTTCTTCCATTTGCGAATAATCGCACCAACTGTTGTCACCTTCTCACCAAGCTGCTTGGTAATGGTCTTGTAGCCCATTCCAGCCTTGTGTAGGTCTACAATCTTGTCCCTGACATCCTTGGAGAGCTCTTTGGTCTTGGCCATGGTGGAGAGTTTGGAATCTGATTGATTGCTTATGTGGACAGGTGCCTTTAATACAGGTAACACGCTGAGATTAGGAGCACTCCCTTTAAGAGTGTGCTCCTATTCTCAGCTCGTTACCTGTATAAAAGACACCTGGGAGCCAGAAATCTTTCTGATTGAGAGGGGGTCAAATACTTATTTCCCTCATTAAAATGCAAATCAATTTATAACATTTTTGACAGGCATTTTTCTGGATTTTCTTGTTGTTATTCTGTCTCTCACTGTTCAAATTAACCTACCATTAAAATTATAGACTGATCACATCTTTGTCAGTGAGCAAACGTACAAAATCAGCAGGGGATCAAATACTTTTTCCCTCTGTAAATCTTGACTTAAAGCTTTCGTGACTGCAGGAATTCATATTCTTTGGGTCTTTCGGTAAAGTCACGTAGATAGAAAATAAAGAAGACTTTCTCACAATTATAACTATTGCCTGATGAAGTTGGTTGTTGTCGCCAGCGAAACGTCGCACTCGAATTGTAAATGTTATGGGTTTTACTCTCCAACGTGCCGGTGTGCTGAACTATTAACGAATTGGCACGTTTTTGTTTAACGTGACAAACCCTTCCAAATTGCCTGTCGGGTGGTGGTGGGTTTCACGACATTTACGCGATCTAACCCACATTTTTTTAGTTACGGATATTGGTGGCACGAAAGCGAAAATGTTAAGAATTTATATTTATGCGATCGAACCCCAAACACTTTATTACGGATATTGGAGGCAAGAAGGCCAACATGATAACCATTTATATTGACACGATCTAACCCAAAAAAAACCTTTATTATGGGTAATATTGGTGGCACGAAAGCCAACATGTTAAACAGAAATATTTACACCATGAAACCCCCAAAAACACTTTATCACAGATAATATTGGTGGCACGAATGCCAATGTGGGGTTTAATTAATAATTTCCACTAAGCCGTTGTGTCAACAAGGCGAACGCTCCCGCGTAGTCCGGATATTAATAAATAAATCGTCGCTCGTGCGGCCTCCCACCCACCCACTCACGTGTGTCTCACCGTTAACACTGCGGTGCACGCACAGACACACGTGACACTCCCACGTGTCTCACCGTTAACACTGCGGTGCACACACAGACACTAGTGACACTCACGTGTGTCTCACCGTTAACACTGAGGTGCACGCACAGACACTAGTGACACTCGCGCGTGTCTCACCGTTAACACTGAGGTGCACGCACAGACACTAGTGACACACTCACGTGTGTCTCACCGTTAACACTGTGGTGTGCACAGACACTAGTGACACACTCACGTGTGTCTCACCGTTACACCGCGGTGCACGCACAGACACTAGTGGCACGTGTGTCTCACCGTTAACACTGTGGTGCACACACAGACACTAGTGACACTCGCGTGTGTCTCACCGTTAACACTGAGGTGCACGCACAGACACTAGTGACACACTCACGTGTGTCTCACCGTTAACACTGCGGTGCACACACAGACACTAGTGACACACTCACGTGTGTCTCACCATTAACACTGCGGTGCACACACAGACACTAGTGACACACTCACGTGTGTCTCACCGTTAACACTGTGGTGCACACACAGACACTAGTGACACTCACGTGTGTCTCACCGTTAACACTGAGGTGCACACACAGACACTAGTGACACTCACGTGTGTCTCACCGTTACACTGCGGTGCGTGCATAGACACTAGTGACACACTCACGTGTGTCTCACCGTTAACACTGTGGTGCACGCACAGACACTAGTGACACACTCACGTGTGTCTCACCGTTACACTGCGGTGCGCGCATAGACACGCGCCGGCGCGGGCAACCGTTGATATTTTAATATGCGCGCGTCACCCACACACCGTCGTATGCCGATCGCTGTCCCACTGCTCTTCACACGCACATGCACCACGCGTCACAACATCAGTCTGTTCTAAGATTTATTTCCCGGAGCGAATAGTGAACCCCTGTTTATGGCCCTCTCCAGCCAGCACCCTTCGGACAGCGCCTAACCTCCTATCACCTGGCCGTCGCAGAGTGCGTCTATCCTCCAAGCTCGAGCTGACTGCGAGCTGGGCTGAATTGGCCCCGTACCTACTCACCTCTTCAGCTGCCCGATGGGGGCTGGGGAAGATGCTCGCCTTGGAGACTTTGCCTGGCCAATTGTTTCCAGCTCCACCCTGCAGGCGTCGCACGGACGCTGAGGACGGCTGGTCTCTTCCACTGCTCCAGAAGAATTCTGATCCAATCCGCCCCTCTGGCCCCCTTATGTCCCCAAAACCCCTTAACCCCCGGGTCATATGATGTCATCCTGCGCATCCAATCGAATCCTCTTTGCGGCCGTTTTGAGCGCTCTGGCCGTTGGGGGGGGGGGGGGGTCGCGTCATCCCCCCCCTTCCCATCGTCTCTGTACCTGCGTTCCTCGCCGTTGACTCATTGAAAATCCCCTCGCTCCCTCCAACTTAAATCAACTCTTATCTGCCTAGGGGCTTTTTCCTCCCACCCCACTGTTTACACTACCGCTGGGTGCTGGCCTTGAGGTCCCACCCCCCCGTGCTGTGTATGCTTCATCGCGGCCGGCCTGTAAAGCTCTATGCCACCTTCTTGGGGGGGCCGCCATGTAATCCGGTCTGGGGGGCTCGGCCAATTTCCTGGTCCGGGGAAACCGTGGAACGTCCCTGTTAATGGGGTACTCGGGTGAAAACCCATCGCACCAGGTGATCCCTCAGGGGTGCATGTGAGTCTTTAGTGGGGCGTGCGTGCGTTCGTGGGGGGTGGGGGGGGGTGCAAGGAGAGGGTAGCGCCGGCCGAGCTGCTCCGCTGCGGTGGCACCACACCAACATGTTCAACATTTATATTTACGCGATCTAACCCAAAAAAAACACTTTATTACGGATAATATTGGTGGCACGAAAGCCAACGTGTCAAACAGAAATATTTACGCGATCTAACCCAAAAAAAACACTTTATTACGGATAATATTGGTGGCACGAAAGCCAACATGTCAAACAGAAATATTTACGCGATCTAACCCAAAAAAAACACTTTATTACGGATAATATTGGTGGCACGAAAGCCAACGTGTCAAACAGAAATATTTACGTGATCTAACCCAAAAAAACACTTTATTACGGATAATATTGGTGGCACGAAAGCCAACATGTCAAACAGAAATATTTACGCGATCTAACCCAAAAAAAACACTTTATTACGGATAATATTGGTGGCACGAAAGCCAACATGTCAAACAGAAATATTTACGCGATCTAACCCAAAAAAAACACTTTATTACGGATAATATTGGTGGCACGAAAGCCAACATGTCAAACAGAAATATTTACGCGATCTAACCCAAAAAAACACTTTATTACGGATATTGGTGGCACGAAAGCCAACATGTCAAACAGAAATATTTACGTGATCTAACCCAAAAAAACACTTTATTACGGATAATATTGGTGGCACGAAAGCCAACATGTCAAACAGAAATATTTACGCGATCTAACCCAAAAAAAACACTTTATTACGGATAATATTGGTGGCACGAAAGCCAACATGTCAAACAGAAATATTTACGCGATCTAACCCAAAAAAACACTTTATTACAGATATTGGTGGCATGAAAGCCAACGTGTCAAACATAAATATTTACGTGATCAAACCCCAAAAAACACTTTCTTACAGATAATATTTGTGGCACGAAAGCCTCCTGCCGCCACTGCTGTGTTCAAACTGCGTGGTTTAACGCGGGCCCTGACCCTGCACCGCCTTCACCGCCTTCACCCAGGCAATCACCCAGGCAACCACCCACAAATCCCTGCTCACTTCCGCGACAACCACAGCAGCAGCAGCTCCCGACGAGCTGGTGAGTGGTATTTTTACGGCCTTTGTGGCCAGATTTGGCGACTTAACCACTTGGGAGACGACGTTTGTTTGTTGTTGCTGCTGCGAGTTAATTCCACGAGCGGCTAACGTTTTTTTGCGTGTCAAAAAATCTCGTGGATTTGGCATTGCTGATGCATACATGTCAACCACGTATCAGTGCCCTACCTTATTGCAGATAAATTCAGACCCTATTGATCCCACCCCCGTGCCCCTTATAAATCTCAACGTTCATCCTACAAGGGAGAAACACAAACAAATAGACAAACATTATTTTTTGCCCGTATTGAAACGTCTGTTACGCCGTATCGAGCTGAAAACTCAATTTCCTTGTACACGAATACGGGCTAAATCGTATGGTTTGAACAGCATGGAATCTAGCAGCTGTTGGTTGATAGATACCCAGTGTCTTGTGGTTGATCTGCTTCCCTACGACAGCAAGTCCCGTTGTTGAAAAGTTCCGTTCTCGGCGAAAGACGCGTTTCCCCGACAACAATCTCGCCGTAAGAAACGTAGCGATTACGTTTGGCGAGGTAGCACGCGCGTGCGCGCGCACTCACACAACTTGAGGGTAACCCCGCCGCGTTGCTGTATGGCACCGCTCCGCCGCGCAGCAGCTCAAGAAAGTAGTTCGCCGTTCACCGGTCAGAAACCACGTTATAGCGAAGCGTGTTCCACGTTATAGCGAAGCACGTTCCACGTTATAGCGAAGCACGTTCCGTGTTATAGCGAAGCGTGTTCCACGTTATAACGAAGCGCGTTCCACGTTATAGCGAAGCGCGTTCCACGTTATAGCGAAGCGTGTTCCACGTTATAGCGAAGCGTGTTCTGTGTTATAACGAAGCGCGTTCCACGTTATAACGAAGCATGTAACAAGTTATAACGAAGCGCGTTCCGTGTTATAACGGGCGCGTTTCCGCGGTGTGCAAATTTTTTTCTCCCAAAAGAAGATCCACGTTATAGCGAAAACGTGTCGAGTGAACACGTATTAAGCGAGGACTTAACATGTGCAATTGACATTTAGAATGTCATGATTTTAACCACAGATTTCTACATTTAATATCAGTTAAGGCTTTTTAAATTCTTGTTCGTGTGTGTCAGATAATGCTTAAGTACATTTGTTTACTTGTTAGCTTCTGGTCGAATATAATCGTGAGACTACGGTACGGTACATGCTGACACGTATATGCGGTTTTCGTGTCTAGAGTGATGAAGTACATATACATATTTTACTCAGAATGATCAGGATTTGTTTGAAGAATTTGACTGCTGCCTAAAAACGTTAGCGCAGTAAAATCCATTTTCGTCTTGCGAGCATTGCGATACTGTCAGGTATGGCGATGGCGCGGGCAGTCCTTCATCCAGCAGCGGATCGATCTCGACCATCGATGACGATTTACTTTTTTTTTCTTCACAACAGCGGCGATGTCGTCCTCCCCGCGTCGCGAAAGAAAGCTTCCGTCGCGCTGCGTCTCCGATCCGCTGGAGGACGAGCGGGAGCGGGGCGAAGCGCGCCTCTTCCGGACGCTGCTCGGCAGCTGCTACGGGCCCCAGGGCGGCCTCAAGCTCCTGCGTAACGCGGTCGGCGGCCCCACCGTCGCCACCTCCACCTCGGCCGTGCTGCTCCCGGCCCTGCACCCGCCGGGCCCCGTCCTCCGGCTGCTAGCGGCCGCGGTGCGTGGGCACCTGGGCCGGCGCGGCGACGGGGGCCTCTTCGTCGCGCTGCTCGCCTCCCTGCTGCTCGAGGGAGGATGGGGGATGGAGGTGCCGCCCGGCCTCACGGGGAGAGTGCAGGGACGCCTGCTGCAGGTGGGGAAGGGTTAGGATGCGGCCTCGCAGGCAGGTGTCAAGGATGCCAGGTGATGATGCGTGGGGGTTAGGGCTGGCGGGCACGCCGCAGGACCGGCCGTTGGAGGTCAGAACATCTGGAATGCAGAGTGTGGGTGGCCCCTTTCTGTAACGAAAGGAAATTAACACAATGTTGTAAATGTGACAATCTTGCCGGGTGGTGGAGGGTTCATGAGCCAAACAAAATACTACCACTATTAGATGAAAAAAATAGTTTAGTTTTGCGTGTATATTTTAAATGAACTTATTTAGTTCAGTTGGTTTGATGCAAACATCCATGTAAAAGAGCTGGCACCACTCAAATGCTGGGTTTTGATAGTGGATTTCACTCGTGCTTGATTCAATAAAATTGTCTCAGCAAAGTCATCAATAATTCCGTAAAATCCCATCCCATTCAACTTTTTTTAATGAATCCCACTCCGAGAATTAGCATTGCTTGCGCCATCGCTCCACCCCGCGGCTCGATGCAAACAATGGAAAGCGGTCACGCAAAAGGTGCTGACGGATGCCACTACGTGTTCCCAGCTGTGCGAAAGCTACCTGCGTTCGGAGGAGTGCGCTTGCCGCCTGCGCGTGGATCTGGGTTCGCTACCCCGGCTGCTGTCGCTGGTGCTCACGGTGCTGGGCAGCAAGCCGGCATGCCTCCTGTCACGACGGACAGCGCGTCACGTCTCCACCGCGCTGCTGCGCTCCTTCCTCCACACGGTGCCGAGCTCCGGCCCGGCACGTGGTGACGGCGGCGACGACGGACGGCCGACGACGGTGACCCTGGGCCACGCCGTGCTGGTGAGCGCCGTGGGACCGCCGGTCGAGGAGACGCGTGTGCTGCCGGGGCTGCTGGTGGAGACCCCCGAGGTGGCGGTGAGCGTGGCGGGAGGGAGCCCAGGTGCCGAGGGATCCATCCGCGTGGCCGTTTTCAACACCTCTCTGTCGGGGGACGTGGCCGAGGGCGGCGAGCGGGAGCTGTGCCATGAGGTGTGTCTCGCAACTCGAAGGCTGCCTCCGTGTACGATGTGCACAAGTAATCTAAAATTCGGGTTTTTATTTCAGAGTGAACCACGGGCAAACTCCTTGGCACAGTACTGTGCTTGCTTTAGGATTCATGCCAATGGCTTACATGACAATACACTCTGCACATTGATACTTCCCCGTTGTGCTGTATAGTTTTTTACCCTTCCTCGTACATGCTGTATACATCTTGGGCAGATTTTTTTTTCCTTGACTCTTGAGTAAATTTAACATTCCCCTGGTAATATATTAGAGGCAAGCATATGCTATATGTCACACCTACTGTATACATGTATCCAAAACATTCCAGGACTTCACGTAAAAGTAAATGCACATATCACAACCCTTTTATCAATCCACTGCTGGATGAGAGCCTCCTCATGCCGTGCTAGTCTTGGGGTTTATTTGACCAACCTGAACCATGCTGGTCAGTGCGGGCTGGTTGGTGAAGGTGGGGAGCATAGACGTGGGAGCATGGTACAGTACAACATTGGATTTAGCTTCACTGCCCTCTGCTGCCCACAATGTGTAACCACACAGGCTACGGCACCTGTTTTAGACTTGGCCCCACAGCTCCATACACAAGTACACGAAGACAATACAACACATAGATAGTCATATACTGCATAGCAATGTAGATTCTTTAGGCTACTGATATTTGCGAGCACTTATTAAAGCCAGCACAGGTCATGAAAGGGTGCTGTGGGCAGCACCACGGCTGGCCGCTTTTGTCTTCCCGGTTCCCGATGTTTACACACCGGACGTGAATTTTGCTGCACTCTTTTAAGCCTAAGTCGACCTAGAGGTGACCCAAGACTGGTCCTCAGATAAACGTGCACACACCGTGCTGTAACGCATTCTACCCCACGCTCGTCTTCGCTCGTCTTCGCTTGGGTGTGTCGACCGGCACCAGGTGGCGGTGGGCGTGAGTGCGCACGGTGCCACGCTCGCGCAGCTTCTGAGTCTGGGTGAGCGGCTGCTGGCACTGGGGGTGCGGCTCCTCGCCTGCCAGAAGGTGGTTCACCCTGCGCTGTGCCAGTTCATGGAGGAGCGCGGTGCACGCGTGCTCGACCGCCTCGGAGCTTCCCTCGTTGAGCCCCTCTGCCGCCTTACAGGTAGTCATCACCGTCATCGGTAGGGCCTCATTTCATCCGGGTCTGTCTGGATTGGCGAACCCGGAAAATAGTTCTGTTCAAGGTGCACCACTTCCACGCCTTGGTTGTAGACACTGGTCACATGCCACATCCCAGAGTCCACCAGCGACCCAGAATATATTTCCACTCCCAGCACACCACATCCATTGAACCTTTCGCTATGGTTGTGGCCATTTACGTGCGTTCCGTATACCAGAGTCTTACCGGAAAATATTTCCAGGTCGCTGGTTAATAATCGTCGTCGTCATCATCGTCATTACGCGCATCAGAATTTCCCCTGCACGAGCTCGGAGGTGTCCTGTGCGTGACATCCAGTGCGGCAAGTAGGCCGACGGTGCGACTTGACAAACACACGCGCAGGCGATCGGCCGGCGGAGGCATTGCGAGCGCCGTGGTGTCTCTCCTGCCCACCGCCCCCCCACCGCCAGGCGCCCGGCCGCTAGGCTCGCTTGCGGGCGTCGTGACCCCGGCGCAGCTCGGACTCGTGCAGGGCACGGACGGCGTGCGCGTGGGGGAGAAGCGCTTCCTGCACCTGCGGGGGATGGACGCCCCCGCGCCCCCCGTGTGCACGCTCGTGCTGTGCCACCGCAACGACGCCGCGCTCGCCGAGCTCAAGGTGCGCCCGCCGAGCTGCTGGGCCGTCGGCAACGCCTCTCTGCCACGTCCCTCCGGCAGTGTCAGAGACCCTCCGTTTTTTTAGACTTTTATTTATTGCGCACGGACAAAAGAGCACCGCTCTATGCGGTAAAAGTGGCAAATGCGATGCACGTTGGGTCCACAAGGGATTGTGATATTCCAATCCTGCGTGGTGTTTGCCTGTGGCCTGTGGCCAAATCACGCTGTGACCGATCTGATCAGACCTCAGAAGCTCAGCTGGTTCCAGCCTGAATGGATGATCACCATGAATAACAGGTGTTATAGGGTGTGTGGATGTGGGCAGCAGAAGGCAGTGCACAAAGAGTTTCTGTTGTACTGTACCTCTCTTGCTCCCACGTCTATGCGGTCCGTCTATACCAATTCACACTTACGTGATGAAGTATTATCATATAACCTACATGACCCGCATAGCATAGAGAAGCCCTCATCTAGCAGTGGATTGAGCAAAGGCCTATGCATGTATATTAAACCTTGCGTGCTTCAGGTCTCTCACCTCCGCCCACACTGAATTCCCATGCTCTCGTGAGTGTAAGCCCTGCTCCTGCATTACAGCTGGCGTGCCAGGCAGCCCAGCACGCCCTGCAGGCTCTGCTCAAGGAGCCCCTGGCCCTATTTGGCGGGGGCTGTACGGAGACCCACCTGGCCGCCTACATTAGACACGCGGTGAGTCCGTCCCTTCAGTGACATAGGCACCGCGCAGAATGTGGTGCATCAGCATTGCACGTAGACATAGGGCAATGGTTGCCATCCATCCTTCTTCCTGGCATTTTCCCACGAATGTGAGGTCTGCCTTCCTGGTCCTCTTTCGTCGCTAATTCCTTTCTTGGGCCACACCATAGTCAGTCATATCCTTGTTTGCTATTTCGAACCATCTATTGGTCTCTGGCCTGATGTTTACATGTTTATCACCTTATTTCCAAAGAGTTGTGATGCATTACATGTTGCGGTGTAATACACAAATGAATTACTGGTGGACTTATAAACGAGATGGACTCGATTCTCATAGACAAACATCATATTGAAACGCAGGAAGCGACCACGGGTTTATGCGACGCCATTTGTGGCGCCGGCCACATCACCTCTCTCAAGAGCCTCGCCGGCCCTTATCATTCGCAGTGCTTGCCCATACAGTCTGTGAGCCCACAAGGGGTGGACCTTGGTCTCTGTTTGCGGCGCTCGCTGTGATGCAGGCTATGGGGATGAGCGAGGAGCTGCTGCAGGAGCTGCGCTGCTCGCGAGCCCAGGTGCGCAGCGTGGCGTCACACCTGGCGGGCGCACTGGAGGCCGTGGCGTGTACGCTGAGCCAAGGCCGCGGCACCCACCTTGTGGACAGCAGGTGCAGGCCTGGTTTGGTTTGGCTTGAGGTTAACGTTGGCGGACTGTGCGGCCGCACAGAGTCCACTAAAATTAGGAACCCCTATGCTTGTCTCAATGGTAAGGCTACGGTTTTGGCCTGATACTTTTTTTTTTTACATTCACCGCCGAGGTGCAAGCTCTCCAATTAATGCAGCTTCCGCGGCATTGCAGAACTGCGGCCCTCATTCCTTTCCGCCACCCGCCACAACCCACCACTGTGCCACCAGCCACCAGCTGTCACTGCCACTGCAAATGACAATGGCTGACATTTTGACGGAAGCCATAAGTCATGGACTGAAAATACAGATTTGTAGTTTCAGCACGTGACATACGGCATTTTTTTTTTAAAGGAGATAAAGCTCCTAACTCAATGTGTTTGTACAGCCATTCCCAATATTGCGTGTGTATTTTTCGTTGACCACTGTGACTTCCATGCCAATATCATAACCTCACTTGTAGGTTCTTGATGGAGATGTGCCTGGCTTGGTCTCGTTTGCAGGTTTGGGCACCTTTGGGTGGCGTGGCGAGTAGCTCTGCCGGACGAGGACTGGGAGGCCGTGCTCCAGAGTTGTGCGTGTGGCGCCGTGGTGTCTCCCCCGCCCGGCGTGAGCTGGCGGTGGCTGGGCCAACGTGGCCATCGTGACTCCACATCGCTGGGCGACGAGGCGACGGCTCCGACACCGCTACTCGCACCGCCAGATCCTCCACCCTCTCTGCTGCTCGACTCCTTCACGGTCAGAAGCAATGCCCTCCAAGTGGCTGTGGAGGTCGCCAGCCTCCTCCTGGATGTTAAGTGCACGATCGAGGACACCAATTAGAAATAAAGCCACCAAATGTCTTCTTTCAGATGGGACAGTCCCAGTTGCCCTGAAACATTTGCATAAATCAGTATTTTTGTCTTTGTTTAACATGTAAACTTTAGAGAAGGGCCCTTAGGCTACAGAGGTAGGCTATTCGATAATAGGGGCACGCTGTTAAGACTGTAGAGGCACGCTGTTGAGACAAAGTCAATATTTCACTGGATGCAGAAGCCCAAACCGGTTAAACATTACAAGGCTGCTTGTCAACACACTGTGTGATTGGGTTTGGAATGCCACAACGCTTGTGGGCCTTTTGCTCTGTGCCGTGAGTTGGAATCTGTGTCAGTACTTGTTATGTACATGTCTGAAATGACCCGCCCTGAAATTATTTATTTTTTATTTTGTATGCATATGCAGGGTTGTGTTAACTTATAATAAAGCTATTCTTGATACATGGCTGGTGTTTGCGTGCGCTTTTTGCGCGACTATATGTAATCACGCTGAGACCCGTAACTTATAATCAAGCTGCTTTGCAGACAGACCCAACACAGGAAACCTGTGAGCATTGTAGGCATCTCCTTTCATGATTTTCCACCCGAATTGTGACATCTTAGCGTAGGGGGGGGGGGAACACCTACAGCCCATGGGCAAGATACCGACCGTAGCTTCATTTGATACATTTATCTGTCACTGCAAGCATCTGAGGCATGCCGATTGGGTCCTAATAGACACTGTTGCTAATGTTAGCATGCAAAGTCGCCTCTGTCACAGCGGGAAATGTAAGCCCTGATTATTTTTTTGCGCTATTAATGGACAACGCTAAGGTGTGCTGTTCATGCGTGGCCCTCCGAAAATCCTTTACCACCACTAGGAAACGGTTCCCTGCCACTGATTTCAAGGAAGATACAACAGCCACTCACCGCTGTCAGATGTATAACTAGATTATGAGCTCTGCCCTCAGATGTCAATTACAATGATAATGATTTGCGTTTGACATTGTGTCCAATACACCAAGATGTCTCATTGCTTTCCATCTCAAATCAACACATTGAAAAGGCACCCTCAGTGGCACAAATTTACTCAGCACCTGGCCCGCAAATGGGCATTAATCTGCCAGTAAGGGTCGATGATGGCTCTCAATGGAGTAATTGCAATCAATGCTAAAAGCCCTGCCTCTAGCTGTCAATCTTCTAAGCCCCATGAACTGTCGTCAATCAATGTCATAGTCGGCTTTGCTCAGCAGCTGTCAGTCAAGTATCGCTCCCCCGCGCATAGCTGTTAATTCATATTAAAGGTTTTTAAGGTTTCAGATTGGGTAAATTTAAATATCGTTTATTGTTAAATTTGAATCACAGTTCCTATGATTACTGTTGTTACATTGTTTTTATAGCTTTATTTTGGTGATTTCGAAAACATGTGGTGAAGCCATGTTTCTTTGCGGAAGTGCGGAGTTGGCCTGATAACTTAAATCTAAATTGTCTTATGGTTGTTATTGTTTGACTTGCATCACACTGGGATTTTTGCAACACAGCGTTGTAATACGGTGGGGTTTTTTTTCTGGAAGATTTGCTGGTTTATCCAGGATGTTTCTGTTGCGCGTCGTCGCTTTAAGATGTTTCTCTGTTCATATTTAGTTTGTTGCGGTTGCACCCGACTTAAGAGCCGCATGGCTCACAGGGCTTTACCTAATAAATGAAACTTGAAAACCCGCCACCACCCGACAGCCAATTCGGTAAGGTTTGTCGCGTAAAAAAACGTGCCAATTCGTCACTGCTTCAGCACACCGGTGTGTTGGCGAGTGAACCCACAACATTTACACTTCGAGAACAATGTTTCGCTGGTGGTCGTTGTGGGTTTACTCTCCACCACAATCGGTGTGCTAAAGTAGTAACTAATTGGCACGTTTTATTTACGTGACAAACCTTACTAATTAGCACACCTGTCAACCCCTTATTAGTGCCTATCTTATTACAGACCAATTCAGATCTTATTGGTCACCCCGTGCCCCTTATAAATCTCAACGTTCATCCTACAAAGTCCCATCACAAGGGAGAAACACAAACAAATAGACACATTTTTTTTGCCCGTATTGAAACGGCTTTACCCCGTGTGAACCTGAAAACTCAATTTCCCTGTACAAGAATACGGGCTAATCTTTGGGTTTTTCGGTAAAGTCATGTCGAAATAAGACAAAATAAAATGACATAATATACGACGTTTCGATTGCAACACAAGCAATCATCATCAGGTAGAGGAAACATATAACCGCAGATTTCTATACAGACCTTAAGTAGGGGGAATTAACACAGATATACCAGGGGATACAGAGAGACGGAGCATCACACTAAATCAAACAGGGTTTAGCAAAATTTGGAAACTATGTAAAGCAACACAGACGGTCGGTTAAAACACAATTAACGCATGGTCTGGTTTTAACCGACCGTCTGTGTTGCTTTACATAGTTTCCAAATTTTGCTAAACCCTGTTTGATTTAGTGTGATGCTCCGTCTCTCTGTATCCCCTGGTATATCTGTGTTAATTCCCTCTACTTAAGGTCTGTATAGAAATCTGCGGTTATGTGTTTCCTCTACCTGATGATGATTGCTTGTGTTGCAATCGAAACGTCGTATATTATGCAATTTTATTTTTTCTTATTTCGACGTGACTTTACCCGAAAAGAAACCCCAAATATTAATTCCCGCAGTCACGAAAGCACCAAATCGAATACGGGCTAAATCGTGTAGGGTTGACAGGTACGAATTGGCTGCGTCGGGTGGTGTGGCGGGTTTAACGCCACGTTTATATTTACGCCACGTTTATATTTACGCGATCTCGCCCAACCTCTCTATTTACAATGGACAATATTAGTCTGAGAAATCCCCTACTCTCTCTAACATAACGTGTCGTTATTATCCGTCCTGCCTGCTGTCAATCAAAGCCTCAAGACCACGCCCACCGGCTGTTGATACAACCCGCGAGCCACGCCCACCCGCTTGCTTCGCCGAAACCCGGAAGAGAATTTTTTTTTTTAAATATTAAACCACGGAGTTCTTCACTGCGGTGGCACTGAGTTTAATCAGCTCCTCTCTCCAAACTCTCGTAAAACTAACGCAACAACATACACGGCCACCAACAGGGACATCACTCGCTTAACCCCCTCGGGCTCTCTTTTTTTTTGTTAATAAATGTAGCTGCCGACCTCGTTCGAAGGCGACACCGGTTGCCCGGCGCGCGCGCCGCCGGCTTAGGTGGCCCCCGAGCGGCACCGGATCCAGGCGAGGCTGGTGCTCGCGGAGTTTGACCAGGCCGCAAGGGGGTCGTGGTTGCAAGTCAAGTCCCGAACCGCTGCGGTCTGCTCAATGACCCCCCCCCCCCGTGCTGGCCCGGCCAATGTCGCCTCCTCTCTGACCCCCTTCATCGACGGCTGTGAGGGCTGCGAGTGACGGAGAAAGTTTACGTTGCACACGGGGACACGTGGCACGCGTAGAGAATGCCAGGTAAGTGGGGTGTATGTGTGGGTTGTGGAGTCAAGGTGTGCATTAAAGTACTTATAAACGTTGCAGATGCTGCGTTTACTCTGTGTATGAGACGCTTCATGCCAGAGTGGCTTTGCAGTTGCTCAGGGATGTGGCGTGAACGCCACTTACTCATGGCTAACGAAGATGAGAAGTCAACGATTTATTTCAATGTGATTTTTTTTAAATCCAATCAATTTACGTGGTACAACAGCAACGTGTGTGTATATATAAGATATTAATAATTTCTCCGCTGGATGAGCTGATCCCCGCCAGGCGAATGTGGAATTGTCACTCCCACTGTCTCGGCCGAGTCCGCCACGCCTAACGCCTCGGTCTGAGCATCGGCGTTTTAGCGTTTTAAGGTATATATATTTTATTTTACATCGACTCCGTGTGCCACAACGCGAGCAACTTCACCATCTGCGTGTTGCGCTTCACATGAAGAGACTGGCCACCATAAATATAACAAGTGGAACGCGCTTTGCCTCCTCGGCCGCCGATCAGGATGAGCGCTGCCCACGGAAGACAATTTTAATTAAAAAATAAATAGGATGCATCAAGCATCTTCATGTGTGACGATTATTTTACGTGTAATGTATGGGATTTTGTGTAATTAATTTAAACAGATGCATATTTGCAGTTCTATACACGCTTGTGTGATTTGTTTATATACACGGTTACATGAAATGTGCTAAATATTGTTAGTGTATGTCTATCACGTGACATGTTTACCATTCGTGATGGTAATTGTTATAAGTGACACAACATTTATACATGGGAATGGCCAAACGCCCCAATGCAGGACCTTCCTGAATAATAAAAAAAACACATCTTTGAGACTTGGTGAAGTCTTCTTTGGTTCTTTCGGTAAAGTCACGTAGAATGAGAATAAATTAATAAAATAAAATAACAAATTTCTCACGACGTCGTGAGAATTTTATTGTGTTGTGGCCGAAACGTCGTGAGAATTTTATTGTGTTATTTTATTTTATTATCATTCTACGTGACTTTACCGAAAGAACCAAAGAAGATGAATCCTTGCAGTCACGAAAGCTTTAAATCGAGACTTGGTGAAGCTTTCATGGATAAAGTGTACGGCTATTACTGCGATAAATCACATGGCATAGACGAAGTAAAATGTTGTTTAAATACTATAAACAGATCGGCAGATATTCGCGGAGCAAGGAGCAGGCCGCTTTCCAGACTATCGGAGCAGCGGATGAGCGATTACAATCATATAAACACAGATGAGAGCTTGAGATGGGAGCTGGACTTATGACATGTGAACGAGTGCACTGTGAGTGGGATGTCATGTTAATGGGATTTTAACGAGACCTGGATTGCATTCATGTGTGTGTGTGTGCTTTCAGCTTGTGGGGAGCAGTAGTGCAACGGTTAGTGCACTGCGCTACGAACCCGGCGACTCGAGTTCGAGTCCCGCTCACGGCCAACACCAGTGACGATGATCTGAATCGGTCCTGGGACTCCTCCCCTAGGTCGACTCAGCCTCAAATGCGTACCTAGTGCGGTGTGCGGTCAACGTCGCCCCTGGGGAGACGAAGGCGGTCGTGCGTGGTGCTGGCCACCCACCCCCTGGTGTGCCGTGTGGACCTTCGGAGGTGCTCCCTCACAGCACTTGCCCCCAACAGTCTGTTCAGGTTATACGGGGATCTTTGTTCGTAGTAGCAGCTTGTACCGTAAAACTCTATTTGGGCCAGCAATCGTTGAATGCACACGTGTGTTCACTTTACCAGTAAATAGGACGATGTGTGAATACACCAATAATTATATTGCAGCTGCACAGGAAAGCGTTAATGATGTCTCATAATTGCTCCGTTGTTGCCCTATTGGGATTATCATTAATCACGTCTAGCAAACAGTCAGTCCATTCACTGGGGCTTTGAGCACAGAGGGAGGGGGTTGTGGGCCGTGGGAAGA